TAAAAATCAGTTACTTGAAGAAAAATCTGATTATTTTTTCTGTTTTAAATTGGAATTTTTTAATTTAAATTGAATACAGATTAATTTTTTTAAACCTCTTTAAAATTAAAATTTGAAAATATAACCACCTATGTTAAGGCCTCAATGTACCATTTATTAACATTTAAATTATTTAAAAATACATATTTGTTTGCCAGGTTTTGAAGAACTTCAATCACTGAACTGTTGGAAGTCACCGGGTCGGCAACTTGCATTAGAGTTGTTTAAAACACCTTTTGATAACAGTAACCTCTGTGGCATGTGGAGAGAGAATATTTATTTTTATAAATTTCAGTTTAGTCAATTAGCTCAATTGAATGACTAGTTCATTCAGAGTTAAGAAAAAGATTAGGAGTTGAAAAAGGAAAGCTTGTCCTCCTCTTGTGATCTATGAATAAAAACTAGGTATGAGAAAATGAGACCTACTAATTCTAAAATCTGGAAGGACATGGTGACCAGAAACAATCAGTTTGATTCACTAACTACAAGTCTTCCTTTGTTTAGTAAATCAGTTAGTTTTAAAAGCAAAACGTTTTGATAAACTTTGTTTTTTTCTTATGTATCTAGCACATTTAAGGTTTTCATTTTTAAAAAAGTTTTGTGTATAATTCCCTGTTTTCTAAGATAAAAAATGTAAACATTAAGAATCTGAATAAATATAACATAAGCTGTATAATAGCTGAAATAGATGTGTATAGCTATACACATCCTCCTAGTTAGCAAAAACAAGTTCCAAATTTAGTGTAAAGGCCTATATTTAGTTGCAAATCAACACGTTTTAGTGGTTACCAACGAATGAGGTTCAACCTTTCTTTTGGTAAATAAGTAAATACCAAGGTAAAACCAGATTAAAACTGATTTTAAATCAGTTTCCCCCTTGCTGAATTAAATCATAATTAAAATGGTGTGGTTTAAATCAATCCACCTTGAGGGCAGAGGTGTGGGGTGTAACATTATTGCTGAGGCACCCTCCCCCCCACCCCCCAGCAGAATTTTGGGCATTGAAGTGTGCTTTTTCTGATCCATTCATTCCCCAACTGGCTAAAATTTAGGGAGGTGATCGAAGTAGAAGTAACTAGTTTTATTTAAAATATTTCATTTGGGGAAGATTCTCTAATGATGATAAAATTGGTCAAGTGTGTAAGGAGATTTTCAGAATTAAATGAGCACATAGCTTGCTTTTATTAAAGTGCTGTAACTGCACGTGGTAATTTTAAAAAGTAATTAGTTTTATTAGGTTGATGAGAAACAGCTGTTGATTTTAGAATGCTTTTTGTTTTTTAAAGAATCCAGGGGTTCTAACTATCAATCTTTTCCTTGCTAAATAACAGGGCTTCTAGTCTGTTGCCTTGGACACTAGATCATAATTCCTTTTTTTTTTTTTTTTAAATGCCTTACCCTCTGGACTGGCCTCTCTCGATTCTACTTCTATCTCTCTGGCCATTCCTTAAGTGTCTCTTTTGTCTGGTCATCATCCTCTGTTCCACTTGCCATAGCGATTCCACAGGAATCTATCCTTTGGCCCTTTTATTTCCTTTTGTCATTTCTTTAGATCAGTGGTGCCCAGCCTTATTACACAGGAGGGATACATAAACCTAAGCACAACCTTGTGTGGGCCAAAGATTTAAAGTCCCCTATATTGATTTATATTTTAAGTTCCACTTGTTTAGTATGTATTTAGGTTGTTTCTAGGTACAGTATTGTCTTTTTACACACTTGTGTAAATTAAAATAACGTAAACATGATGACAAAACTTTAATGAATCAGCTGTTAGTATATTGCGTTGAAGCACGCTGCCGGCCTTAGGAAATGCCCTGGTGGATCATAGGTTGAGCACCCCTGCTTTAGGTGATCTTATATGCTCCACATGGCTTTAGTTAATATCTCTATGCTGATGAGACTTTAATTTGTTTGCTCCTGAGTTTTTTTCATCCATTCAGTTCCATATCTCAGCCTGTCATTCTGATATCTACTGGATTGCCGCTCAAATTCAGCATTGTCAAAAGTTAACTACTTATTTTTCCTAACAAACCCTCCCAATTCTTTCTCGTTGACAAAAACCACCAACCTCCCTGGAGCTCAGACTTGTTGTTAATTATTTGTATTACTATAATACCTAGGAGTCCAACTCGTGGATTTAAAGGTGTTAGTTTTGTGGATGTTTATGTGGAGTTCCTTCCAAACATGAGGGCCAGCATGGCAGAAAAGAAGTAAAGAGCTTGTTTGAAAATGTAATAATGGGGATAGAGTGTGGCTTCATGGGGTGATCACAATGAGAGTTGACATCGCAGTGGTGAATGGGAGATGATAGATAAGATAGTAATAAGTTGGGAGGGGTTTAAAGTGAAGACCAGTAGCTTATGTTTGGCATGGTAGAGAAGGGGGATGCAAAGAGAGTGGAGATGTGGTCAGAGACTGACTAGGAAAATGGTCTTTGCAGCAACATTCTGAATTGATATGAGTGTGCAAGTTTGCATTTGTCAAACCCAGAGAGAAAGATATTACAGTAGTAGGTGTTTTAGCTGTATTGTGGCTGAATAGGAAAGGCCATATTTTTAGACATGTTTTGTGGAAGCAAGGGGGTTTGAGTTGATTCAGAACAGAGAGCATGTGCTTGTCTAGCTAAGCATGGGAAGGCTGTAATTTGTATGATATATGTCGCACCAAGGAGAAAGTGTTTAACCTGTGCTAGAGATCCTTACCTGGGTTTACTCCTGGCATTGCCTCACCAAGATAAGTATTTTATTGCTTAATATAGTACTTGTTCCAAGTGTTTAACTCTTGCCCTCCCTCCAGGAGAAAGGGTTGGGACTTGGGCAGAGGCAAGTGGCTGGTGACCTGGGATCCCCTTCCTCAGCTCAGGGAACTCCCCACCTCACACATTTTCTTTCAGTCCCTACTGCAAAAACTCTCATCCAGGCTCTCATGATTTCCCCTTTTGACTACCTCCTCTTTGATACCCACATTAACCCTTCCAATCTGTACAAAATGTACATACTAAGATGCTTGTTGTTCTGACTGTGACGGGTTGGACCCCCCTCTCCTGTCCGGGATGACACCTGATGTACTGGGGTTTAACTGAGCCCCTCTTCAACCAGCCTGGGTTCCCTCTCCCTGCTTTGCTGAATTAGGCTCTCTGGCCTCTTGCAGCACACACACACAGAGGTAGGGCCTAACCCCGCTGCAGACAGACTAAAGTCAGTTCTGTGTGAGAGGGCTACCCCAGCACTCATGTGCCCCCACCCCTTTTGGGGGACAAACTCAAAGTAATACTGTCTTGCACTCTTTAGAAATATCTGTACAGCACAAGCTCTTAAAATTTGCCCTCTTCCTCAGTGTGAAGAGAGATGCACGACTTCTTGCCCCTCTGTTAGAAACTGCATAAACTGGGTTTAATAATGAACAAAATCTGCCTTTTATAGTTCATAAAATTTAAGTGGTTTAAGAGATAACGAACAGAGCAAAGCAGATTACTAAGCAAATGAAACAAAACATGTAAACTAAGCTTGACACACTAGATAGGTAAGATACAAATTAGCAAATTCTCACCCTGAGTGATAAACAGGCTGGCAGATTCTTAAGGCACAGGTTGCCTTGACTTTCCCAGGTTTTCATACACAGGCTAAAGATCTTAGCCTGGGACTATCACTTCTAACAGTTCAGTCTTTGTTCCTCAGGTGTTTTCAGATGTGTTGTTGTAGGGATAGTGAGGACTCCCACATATTATCATTGTCCCTCTTTTTTTATTTCCTCTCCCCCCTCCCCCCTTCCTGGAAAGCTTTTTTGCTGTGACTTGGGTCAAACAAACAGCTCTACACAATGGGAACTATCTCTGACCTTTAATGATGATCATAACCTTTAATGATACCTTACGTGAGTCATCTTGCATAAAGTACATCTCAGTTATGTCATGTCCATATCATAAGCATATTTACATAATGAATATGAAGCGCAATGTCACACTGACCATGTCATGTTCCGTTAGATTTCTTCTTGGCTTTTCCTCCTTCATACCAAGTTCAATCCTCTGTCCTTGCTATCAAGTCCCTGCACAATTGTCTTTTTACTTTTATCTCCCATCTCCTTTGCTGTACCAGTGGCTGCAGCCTTGACACAAGACACTTGACTAGAAGAAATGCATTCCCTCATAGTGGCAGGGTTTAAGGGCAATTAAGGATAATCATGTAATCTTTAAAAAACCTCTGTTAAGGCATAAGCAATCATTATCTTGACCACTTTACTTGTGTGTTGTAACTTTTTCCCCTACTGTGTGTGTCTATCTCTTTAATTTTGATTAAAAGAATCAATTATTTTTCAAAGGACATCAATAATTAATTTTTTCTGAAAATATTTTACCAACTTTAGTGATAAGTAGCCCCTAAAATAACTCTGAAAGAGATCATAGAAAACCAAGTATTTTCACTTTGTTCATATTATGTATGTTCAATTTCACAGTTTCACCCCGTACAGTAACATTTTCCTGTTTGTGTTTTCATACAATAATGTAGAGAAAAACCTTTTTTAAAATAAGAAAATTTGATTGCAAAACCTTAAATATTGATGGAGGGAGTCTAAGGGGATGCCAATACAACAAAAAGGCCTGTGGTAGTGAGTCTTAGAGCCTGGTCAACTGGTTTGGGCTTGCAGGGCTTGTGCTACGGGGCTGGAGCCCAAGCCCAGACATCCACACCGCTGTGTTTAGCCCTGTAGCATGAGCTCTGCAAGCCCAAGTTAGTTGACCCAGGCTCTGAGACTTGCTGCTGCTCCTTGTGTAGATGTTCCCTAAGACAGATATACTTCCTGAAACTGTTTTCAACTTTTTTTTTCAATTAATTAGATATCAAGTTGACTGTGTCCTCTTAACATTCTATGAACAGCTTTTACATACTAACCATTTCTTCTTGTTGTTATGACTGTGCATTTTATACCATGGAATTTAATACATTGTCTTTTTCTTGCAGGAAACTAATTAAAATTGGATGTTGTATGGTGAGATACATCTTTGTGATGGATTATATGTTCAAATATGCTCTTTTTCTACAAACTGTAGAAACAAATAGTACCCTGCGTATGACAGAAATGCTGAAAGTGGAAAGAAAATTGTCAACTGGCAATATCACGTTAAAAAACTGCTTTAAGAAACACTGTAGTTCACATCAGTGATCCACAGCTGATAAAGCTTTGTAGTTAGTAGTGCATGTGCTTTTAAAAGTAATAAAGGATTCAACATGTTTTTACACAGTGTGTCTGCACTGATAATTTAGCACTGAATTTTCATACACTGAAATCATAGTATGATTATCAGTGAGGAAAAACAGAACATTATCTAAAAACTGTCAAAATGACCTCTGAGGAAATGGCAGCTTCTGTACTTGTGTCTGTGGCACAGGGTAAAGTGATACCTGCTCAGTCAGCTGGAGCTGAAAATAGTGAAAATGCTGTGGACACCAATGTTATAAAAAGACACATTGCTAATCAAGGAAGGCAAACGACACATACTTTCTCGTACTTACACAGACTTAAAGAAGAACATCTTCAGGGCTCGCTGCCCAAAATTTTCTCTTTGGCAAATGGAGAAGGAATGACTGATAATAGGAGTAATGAAAACTTCTTGGAGAAGAACACATGCATCCCTGGTTCAGTGGAGTTTCTTAACATGAATTGCAACACTATAAAGAAAAAATGCAAGAGCAGTGTTCCGCATAACCAGTTACATAAATCATGTGATTCTTTAGCAGAAGAACACACATGCTTGGAAACTGGAATTTCTACTTCACGGGAAAGGACCATGTTTGCTGATATTCAGTTGAAGAGGGATGAACCTGCAGTAGAGATGAAGTCATTAAGAAACCATTTTGCGGTAAATAAAAGTGGCACAGATGATGCTGATAATGTAGCAGTGTTTCACTTTCACTATGCTAGTGAAAGAAATATATCAAAAGCTTTGTGCACGCTACACAACAGCTTCATTTTGGGTGACTGTTTACAGCATGTAAATGTTGGTAATGATCACGCCAGTGATTCAACAGCCTGCACTTGTAAATTAATGGAATTGACAAATAATTGTGACAATAAAAATGGACAACAGTTGTATGATAACTGTGACACTTTAAGGGACAAGTATTTATATGTGGAAAGAGCAGCACGAAAGGTTAGAGTGGCATGCTCAAGTCACAGCTTTTATGGTGGTAATTTTACTGGAAAAATGCCCTCAAAGCCCTTTCTGAGCCATTTTGAAGATTGCAGTGATAACTGCGAAGAAGGGATGGAGGAGGAGTTTTTTAGAAACAAAAAGGAACGTTCCACTTTATTAATCAGACGTTTTTGTAAAAATGATAAGGAGGTTAAAAAATCAGTTTATACTGGAACAAGGGCAATTGTTAGGACTTTACCTTCAGGGCATATTGGAGCTGTTGCTTGGGATTATGTGGAGCAGAGGAGAAACAAGAGTGATATAAAGCATTGTAGGATTATCACAAAACATCTAACTATTCAAGCCTTAAGTGAGGAATTAAATTCTGATCTTGTGAAATCCATGTGGTATGAGGTAAGCTTTTCATATTTTTTTTCATGTAAACATGTACTGAACTGATGTTTTGATTTAACAAAATTATTACACAATTTATTGGTGAAGCTCTTGAGGAGGGTGTCAAACTACATGATTAAATAACACCGATAACCTTGTAGATAAGATGTAATACAGCCACAACTACTATGCAAAAACAAGCTTTTATTATGAATAACATTTAAGATGCATTTTTTGATTGTCCACTGGTACCAACTAGTATAGAGAATGGAAGACTTAATTAACATATTGCTATGCTGAACACTCCTTTTTAGAAGGGTTTGTCTCATCCTTAAACTCATTTTGTCTAAACTGGCACAAGAGTTTCTAATCAAGGGTAGAATAAAAAAAGAAATCCATCCATTTTTATGGACTTTCTAAAAATGAAGCAGAGACATTGTTGTTTCAATTTTTTTTTTACAATTTTCAGACTAATGCTATAATGTCCCATGGTGTGGATTGATATAGAATGATTGTAGTGAAAACATATGGGTTGTATTAGGTATTTTTAAAAAAAACCTAAATATTTCATCTAAATTATCATGTTTGAACATTACTTCTGCACATATAAATAACTATCTTTATAATTTGTTATGACAGTTGCATACTGTGTATTGATATATGGTTGTCTTAACTTACATTCTGTTGACTAAATATCGTTCTAAGCCTTCATTCACAATTATTATGAACTCATTAAAAAGTTGTAGAAATGATATGGCACTTCACAAACAAATAATATTAATTGTGAAGTACTTTTACATTATGCTGTTCAGAGTTCTGCAGTTCCATGGCTATAGAACTGGAAGCAGAAACTACACTTGGTAATGGAATTTATAAAAAAGAGTTTCTTCACAGTATTGCTAACAAAATGCCATTTTAGAATGGAAGATTACAGTGCTTTTCTTTGGCATCAAGTTCAGCCAGCATCTAATGTCAGTGTTTTGTATTTGACTTCACTTTGCCAACCATATGCTGCCTGACATTTAAAATCATTCTACATAATCTTATTACAACTGACTTTTAAATTTAACTCTGATTTTATTAATCGTAGCATTACTCTTCTAATCGTCTCGATACCTGTTTATTTTCATGCCACTAATACGTTTAAATGATGTAGTATTTTGTGACTGGGCAATCATCTCAAGGGTGTAAATAGTGATATCAAATCCATTCTCCATTTTTGCGGTGGTTCCTGATTTTACAGTTTGACTAGTTGGCTGTCATTTTAACATTCCCTTTGAATACCTGTGTTTCGGGGAGAATCTCAGTAAACAATATGACCGAAGAACAGCAAGTGTATCTAGATCATGTGAATGGTTGCTGCATTCCATATGGAGTAGTGGTGGAATCATTGCTACTCCAAAGGATATTGCTGCTATTGTCAGATCACTATATCAAGACTGAGAAAAGGCCATGTGACTGCCTGTTTAAAGAAAGTGTTTTAATTTCATCTTTTTATTTATTAAACTCTATCCATATCCAGAAAAAGTGGAAGAAGTTTTCAAAGGTAACTAACTGGCATTTGTGACTTTGAAAATCTTCTCCAGTGTGTATGAGTAATTCTCCTGTAGTACTCCATATTACATTTTCATATTTATGCTCATTTATTATTCAGTCATATTTTCCTGGTATAATTTACACTTCCTATATATTTTCATTTTACTTTTTCTAAATTATTTAAAGTGTTGAAGAAAAAATAAATTTGAAATATGTTTATAGGGACTTCTGATTTTGTTTCACATATCATTTGGGAGAGGGTGAGCACTCTTTCTTTTGGTCCCTGATTTAAGTACTTAAGCATGTGAGTACTCCATGGGATTTAAGTGCTTTGCAGAATTGGGGTGTGGAGCAAGCTGTTCTAGCTCACTACTGTGTAGAGAAATTGTCCTCAAGTTTCCTAAAGAAGGTATTTAAAGGAAAGCCTGAAATAAAATTCAGTACCTAGGATTTTTTTACCTTGTTTTTCTGTCCAACTTTTTGTCAGATCTCCAAAGTTATTGATTTGTTTACAGTTGAGTTGAGCAATATTCCTGTGTTATGCTTGTATCTTCTTTAATGAATTCTCCTGTTCCTATGTTCATGAAGATCTCTAAAAAGCAAATAAGATAAAGACAGAAATCAGGAAAATGTATAAGTAGAACTTTCTATATAAGCTACTGCTTCTTTTAATGCTTATCTCAAATTATGAGAGAGATGAAGAAAATATTTCTCAACGCTTAATTATTTATCCAGTACCTGAATGCTTTGGTCAGTGAAATTGGAACAATTAAAACAAAACAGCTTCTCATATCTCAGAGCTTTTTTGCTAATGTTTCTGATAGTTTTAGAAATAAAAAAATATATATATATATTTATTTATATTTGTTTTTGGAAGGAGAAATTTGAGATTAAAAATAAGTCAAAATTAATTCCTGATATTAGTGAATACAGCTCCACTGACTTGGAATAAAATCTACCTGCACAAGGTCTGAATCTAACTAGCATAGAATACATCACCAAAGTCCCATCTAACTAGCATAGAATACATCAAATCTGGAGTAGTGGGTATGGAACCATGAGAGCACAATTTCTGTGACATAGTATTCCCCAGACCTTGGAACGTTGCAGAAGCTTCTCTACTGGACTTCTATGGGGTTGCGCCTCCCTCAGTACTTAGCAGTTGTGCCAAAACTAACTAACGTAGAGAGAGTTGCATGAGGTGAACCATTTTTCCCACTGCTCTCTGTCTGGATCAAGATGTTTGACTCCATCTTAAGTTGGATTCATGATGGTAGAATCCTTTTCAGTCATCATCATTATAGATCATTCTTTGTCTTCCACGCTGCCTTTTCCCTCCAGATGGAATCCAATCTAAAACATACCTTGTGCTTCTGTCACAGGGTAGCCTAATTACCTGACCAGACTGCCATAACTGTGTCTGTATAATTTGAGTCCACAGTCTGCTGACCCATGCGGCACAATACTTCCACATTGGTTACATAATCTCCCTGGTAGATTCCCAAGATTCTTCGTAATGCTGGTGGAATGCATTGAGCTTTCTGTTGTGTACATCCATTATCTGCCATGTTTCTGAGGCATACAGCAGTGCTGGGAGAACAATCTCATATTACTGTATATATGTATCTTCTTCTTCCAGATGTTTGACAAATGAGAAAATGATCCTATGGCTTCACTGATTGCTTCTTTAGTGAGTTGGCCATGAGCAGATCATAGAATCATAGACCTTAAGGTCAGAAGGGACCATTATGATCATCTAGTCTGACCTCTTGCACAACACAGGCCATGGAATCTCACCCACCAACTCCTGTAACAAACCCCCAACTTATGTCTGAGCTATCGAAGTCCTCAAATCGTGGCTTAAAGACTTCAAGATGCAGAGAATCCTCCAGCAAGTGATCCATCCCCCACGCTGCAGAGGAAGGCGAAAAACCCCCAGGGCCTCTGCCGATCTGCCCTGGAGGAAAATTCCCTCCTGACCCCAAATATGACTGTCCGCTAAACCCTGAGCATTTGGGCAAGACTCACCAGCCAGACACCCAGGAAAGAATTCTCTGTAGTAATTCAGATCCCACCCCATCTAACATCCCATCACAGGCCATTGGGCCTATTTACCACGAATAGTCAAAGACCAATTAATTGCCAAAATTAGGCTATCCCATCATACTGTCTCCTCCATTAACTTATCAAGCTTAGTCTTGAAGCCAGATATGTCTTTTGCCCCCACTGCTCCCTTTGGAAGGCTGTTCCAGAACTTCACTCCTCTGATGGTTAGATACCTTTGTCTATTTTCAAGTCTAAACTTCCTGGTGGCCAGTTTATATCCATTTGTTCTTGTGTCCACGTTGGTACTGAGCTTAAATAATTCTTCTCCCTCCATGGTATTTATCCCTCTGATATATGATAGCAATCATATCTCCTCTCAGCCTTCTTTTAGTTAGGCTAAACAAGCCAAGCTCATTGAGTCTCCTTTCATAAGACAGGTTTTCCATTCCTTGGATCATCTTAGTAGCCCTTCTCTGTACCTGTTCCAATTTGAATTAATCCTCCTTAAATGTGGGAGACCAGAACTGCACACAGTATTCCAGATGAGGTCTCACCAGTGCCTTGTATAATGGTACTGACACGTCCTTATCTCTACTGGAAATACCTCGCCTGATGCATCCCAAGACCACATTAGCTTTTTTCACGGCCATATCACATTGGTGGCTCAGTCATCCTGTGATCAACCAATACTCCGAGGTCCTTTTCCTCCTCTGTTACTTCCAAGTAATGTGTCCCCAGTTTATAACAGAAATTCTTGTTGCTAATCCCTAAATGTACATCCAAGGTAGAGGAAGTCCTGAACTCCTCTGTACTCTTCTTCATCAATCACATATGTGCCTGTGTTGACAGCATTCTCTCCTGCCTCCATAGTCTTGGTCTTCTGTGTACTGACACACAGTCCCACTTTAGTTACTTCTGCTTTTATGCTCATAAAGAGTCTTTTATTTTTTTAATTTTGTCCAAGTTGGTATCCAGTATGACCATATCATCTGCAAAATCTAAGTCTCACAGCTTATTGCTTGCCCAAACAATACCATCGTCGTTGGCAGCAGCTCTCGCTCTAGTCATCAGTCTGTGACAGTGCAGAAGAGAAGTGGGGAAATTATGCAATAACAATTTGAAAACACTCCATGTCTACGCTTTCTGTCCAGATGCAACCTGCAGACTAGTCATACAAGGCTTTTATCGAATTCGCATCTTTGCTGGAATTCCAGAGTGCCTCAGGATCTTCCAGCAGGCTTTTGTAGACACTATATTCAACACTTCTATGAAAATCAAGGAAGTTAAAAACCATCTTCTGCTGGTGTTCTAGGCCTTTCTCAAGTCATGTCAAGGTGAAAATCTGGTCTGAACACAACCTACTGGATTGACATCCAGTCTGATCTTCCCTGAGTATTTAATCAACAGCAGTTTTCACCATATTTAAAATGATAATGCAA